GGGCACTGGGCTATCCATCAGTCCTCCTTATGACATGTTTGGAGATGTGTGCACTGGACTACCCACCAGCCCCCTGTACGCCATGTTAGGGATGTGGGCATTGGACTACCCACCAGCCCCCTGTATTCCATGTTAGGGATGTGGGCACTGGACTACCCACCAACCCCCCCGTGTGCCATGTTAGGGATGTGGGCACTGGACTACCCACCAGCCCCCTGTATTCCATGTTAGGGATGTGGGCACTGGACTACTAACAAGCCCCCCTGTGTGCCATGTTAGGGATGTAGGCACTGGACTACCCCCCAGTCCCCTGTGTGCCATATTAGGGATGTGGGCACTGGACTACCCCCCAGCCCCCTGTGTGCCATGTTAGGGATGTAGGCACTGGACTACCCCCCAGTCCCCTGTGTGCCATATTAGGGATGTGGGCACTGGACTACCCCCCAGCCCCCTGTGTGCCATGTTAGGGATGTAGGCACTGGACTACCCCCCAGTCCCCTGTGTGCCATATTAGGGATGTGGGCACTGGACTACCCCCCCCCCCCTGCCCCTGTGTGCCATGTTAGGGGATGTAGGCACTGGACTACCCCCCAGCCCTCTGTGGGCCATATTAGGGATGTGGGCAGTGGACTACCCCCAGCCCTCTGTGTGCCATGTTGGGGGTTGTGGGTACTGGACTACCCCCCAGTCCCCTGTGAAACCATGTTAGGGGATGTGGGCACTGGACTACCCCCCAGCCCCCTGTGAGCCATGTTAGGGATGTGGGCACTGGACTACCCCCCAGCCCCCTGTGTGCCATGTTAGGGATGTAGGCACTGGACTACCCCCCCAGTCCCCTGTGTGCCATATTAGGGATGTGGGCACTGGACTACCCCCCCCCCCCTGCCCCTGTGTGCCATGTTAGGGGATGTAGGCACTGGACTACCCCCCAGCCCTCTGTGGGCCATATTAGGGATGTGGGCAGTGGACTACCCCCAGCCCTCTGTGTGCCATGTTGGGGGTTGTGGGTACTGGACTACCCCCCAGTCCCCTGTGAACCATGTTAGGGGATGTGGGCACTGGACTACCCCCCAGCCCCCTGTGAGCCATGTTAGGGATGTGGGCACTGTACTACCCTCCCCCCCCAGCCCCCTGTGTGCCATGTTAGGGATGTGAGCACTGGACTACCCCCCAGCACCCTGTGTGCCATGTTAGGGATGTGGACACTGGACTACCCCCAAACCCCCTGTGTGCCATGTTGGGTGGTGTGGGCACTGGACTACCCCCCAGCCCCCTGAGTGCCATGTTGGGGGGTGTGGGCACTGGACTACCCCCCAGCCCCCTGTGTGCCATGTTGGGGGGTGTGGGCACTGGACTACCCCCCAGCCCCCTGTGTGCCATGTTGGGGGATGTGGGCACTGGACTACCCCCCAGCCCCCTGTGTGCCATGTTGGGGGGTGTGGGCACTGGACTACCCCCCAGCCCCCTGTGTGCCATGTTGGGGGGTGTGGGCACTGGACTACCCCCCAACCCCCTGTGTGCCATGTTGGGGGGTGTGGGCACTGGACTACCCCCCAACCCCCTGTGTGCCATGTTGGGGGGTGTGGGCACTGGACTACCCCCCAGCCCCCTGTGTGCCATGTTGGGGGGTGTGGGCACTGGACTACCCCCCAGCCCCCTGTGTGCCATGTTGGGGGGGTGGGCAGTGTCATACATTATACAGCTCTGTGATAAATATACAACATTTGTTTAAAAACTGTCTAGGCAAACAAAGGCAGGACTGCAGTTGGGTAGTTCAGCACTGACAGCAGTTCGAGTTTTTCTCTCTTTTTTTTTCTTCTGATTCTAGAACAGCTCCAGGCTCCGCCCAGTAAGGTGGGAGTGCCTGCCTGTGATTGGAGGAAAGTTACAAAGGAGGATGGTATTTATTGCAGCATCCCTGTGGCTTGCAGAGCAGACTGTGAAGTTGGGTTAGTGTGATTGCTGCGCTGGAAGGACTGTGCATGTCAAGGGGAGCCTGGAAGATCACCCCACCTATGGTTTACCCTTCCTTCTCCAAGAGACCCCCACCTCTGCCATCCGCCTAGCTGGGCCCCCTCCACCCTTCTGCACATTTTTCATATATATATATAGAATTTGTATTTTTTCTTCCCCTTGCCCCCCACTCCCCATCTGATTCGCATGAATCTGTTGGATCCTTTTTTGAAGATGACAGAAGAGCAAGAAAAGTGCCTGTCTGGGGCCCCCAGCCCTAGCATGTCTGAGGACTCAGCCGGCTCCCCCTGCCCCTCTGGCTCCGGATCAGACACAGAGAACACCAGACCCCAAGAGAACACCTTCCCCAAGGGGGACCAGGACCTGAAGAAGGAGACAGAGGATGAGAAGTTCCCGGTCTGCATCAGAGAGGCTGTCAGCCAGGTGCTGAAGGGATATGACTGGACCCTGGTGCCCATGCCGGTCAGGGTCAACGGATCCAGCAAGAGCAAACCCCATGTCAAGAGGCCCATGAACGCCTTCATGG